TTACTGGTTTTGATCTGTTTGACATTGGTGTTTATTTTATTTTATTTATTAACTTTGGAAATGCTATGGTGCAAATTTTCTCCCATCCTTGCTGAATGATTGCAAAATTATCCCTTTTGTTCACTATAATTCCAAAGATGAACATTTTATTTGCTAATTTAGCTATATAGTAGTATTCCTTTTAAATTAGAAATTGCTTTTGTTGCTGTTTCTGGGACCTCATTTGTTGTACACCTGTACTGATTGTACTTTCAGTTATTGCATTTCAGCTTTTCTAGTGTAAGAAGTCTGGTCAGGTTCTTGTTTTCATTAGTTGCAGTACTATGCAAAAATACTTCTCTTGCTTTTAAATTAAATAATAAACTGACAACAGGGATATGCACCCCCTAATTCAGATAGAAGGGAGGGAGTTTTGGCAAGAAAGCGCCTTGAGTATCTTGATTGTGTTGCTCAGTATTATGATGTTCCAGACACTGAGCGCACAAATGAAGAGATAAACATGCTCCGGCAGGTATCATGGATGTTATAGGATCGCTTCTAGTCATCAATTTCCATTTCTCCTGTCATTTGAGCATTATTAGCCACTTACCTGTCTTCTTTTATGTTCTTAGATTTCTGTTGATTGTCCCAGAACAGTGCCCGATGTTTCTTTCTTTCAGCAATCACAGGTCCAGAAATCATTGGAGCGCATACTTTACACGTGGTTAGAAACTTTTTACCCTTTGTTTCCTTTCTTGATTTCCTGAATCCTTTAGAATTATAAATTTATTTTGCTCAGGGAAGTAAAAGTTCTTTAATGGTTGTCTCTAGAAATAAATTATTAAAGCTTAGAAACATTGCCAAGTGTTTTGTACAGTTTGTGTCTTGATTTCCGTTAGTGTCGTGGTCTGCTCCAGTAATCCTAGCTTCATTGGGTAGTCTGTATATTAATGGTAAAGTTTATTTTGCTGAGGGAAGTAAAAGCTCTTTAATGGCTGTCTCTAGAAATAACATTATTGAAGCTTAGAAAGATGGCCAAGTGCCATTGTACAGTTTGTGTCTTGATTTCCCTCACTATTGTGGTCTGCTCCAGTAATCCTCGCTTCGATTAACAGTCTGTACATTTATGGTTAGATCTAAAGATGCAAAAATAACGCTATTTATGCCTTCATTAGAAGTCAGTATATATTGCATGAGTGAGGTCAAGGTTCCCTCTTGGAACAAGTCTTATTCCAGGTGGCTGCATTGCATGCTTTGTGTGATTTCTAGTGAATATAGTGTCTATTCTATTGAAATTTACCTGGCGGTTTACATTAAGCTACATAATTCTTTATACTTCCTTGTGTTGGTCATTAAGCTGATTAGCAGCATATCTTTCGTGTGTTAAAATATCAGCCTGATTAGTAACATATGTTTCATTTTTGTTAATATTTCATTTTCTCGTCCTAGGGCCATACGGCATCCTGCCAGTGGCTATGTACAGGGAATAAATGATCTGGCAACACCCTTTATGGTTGTTTTCTTATCGGAGTACTTAGAGGGAAGCATTGATAATTGGCAAATGGCAGATCTAGCTCCCGAAAAAATATCTAATGTAGAAGCTGACTGCTATTGGTGCCTAACAAAGTTGCTTGATGGCATGCAAGACCATTACACATTTGCTCAACCTGGAATTCAACGGTTGGTCTTTAAGCTAAAGGAGTTGGTTAGACGGATTGATGGTATGTTTTCGTATCCTCTAAAACTCCTACGTTAACTACAGCCTTTATTTAGACGGTTGGTGAAGGGTGGCCACTTACCATTCTCTGACCAAGGCTCTTATATTTTTAGGCCTAGTTAGTGCTCTGGGTTAATTTGCTCTATACAACCAGGGCTTTTTGATGTCTATATTGGTCAATGAGCTAAAGAAATGCATGATAAGAATAGATTCTGTGGATGGAAATGCGGAAACATCAAATGAAATTGTAAAAAGTTGGCTCTCAGCTAATTGTAACAGTAAATGAGAAGTTAAACATAACACAGATATACTCTACGACTAAATTAGTAAGTTTCAGGGCTCCTCGATGCATCTTTTGTTCTATGGGAATTTTGTTGATGAGGACAGTGAAGGAAATAAATATGAATAAATAAAACATTTCTAGTACTCTATATATGTTTACACCGCTTCCATGTGAAAGGAAGCAAGAAGGGGAAAAATCTAATGAATGTGACTAATGCTTGATTCTTTTGAAAACCAGAGCCCATCTTAAGGCACATGGAGGAGCAAGGTCTTGAATTTCTACAATTTGCTTTTCGCTGGTTCAATTGCCTATTAATACGTGAGGTGTGTTTCTCTTCTTTATTGTCATCATTTTTTTTTCTTGGCATCGTCATCATGAATTCAAAACTGTCATTACTCGACTCGAGTTTTTTTTTTTTTTTTGATTGGACGTTATCCTTATCCAACATTGCTATAAAGTTCATAGCTAATGGTTTTGCTTTTCCATAGATGCCGTTCCACCTAGTTAGTCGCTTGTGGGACACTTATCTAGCAGAAGGTGATGCACTGCCAGATTTCCTCGTATACATTGCTGCTAGTTTCCTACTATCGGTGAGATACATTCTCTGTCAATAGCCAATAGGTTCTCAGTTTTACTTGATCGCAAAAGCACTTTGTAAGAAAATTTCTGAAACCAATAGTTTATATCACTATTTCTCTGGTTTTGATAATCACTTTTGCAACTCGTATACGTTTCTCAGTGGACAGAGAAGCTACAGCAGCTCGAGTTCCAAGATATGGTAATGTTCCTCCAACATCTTCCAACTCACAATTGGAACGATTTGGAGCTGGAGATGGTGCTCTCCCGCGCTTATATGTGGCACGCCATGTTTAGTAGCTCACCCAGCCACTTACTTAGCTAAAGAAAGAATTCTATGTTTTAACAACAATGGCCAGGCTACCATTCCTGTTCTCTTTTTCCCATTAAATACAAATCTGGGATCTTGTCTTTTCCTTGAAAGAAACCTGTGTGTTTTCTGTTTATTCAGTTTCTTTTTCTTTTTCTTTTTTTTTCTTCAATTTTCTTTCTACTCTGATTTTTGTAACATCTGTATTCTCAATTTGAACCTATACATACGTTTGTAGAAAGTTGTAGATTTTTTTTTTTTTTTTTTTTTTTTTTTTTTTTTTTTTTTGCATTTTAAAGTCAAATCTGTGATTCTTTTTAACTGTTGTAGAAATATAAAGGGATTATTATTAGTATACCTTTTTTTGGAGCTTAAAAGTTAAAATTTTAGTGACTAGAGGTTAGTGTAGTCCAGTGTTGGGCATACCATGAGGGGATTATTTTAATCCATAATTAGAGTATGCCATTGGTTTGAAATTTAGGATGCCTTTATTTGTAGGAAATTATTTTATTTTATTTTTAGATAAATGAGAAATTAATTAAACTTTCACACATCCTTTTGAGTAAGCATGTCAATGGGGCAAGGGGCATATCCTTCCTTTTCTGCCCTAGTTCTTCCCCACATTTCCCGTATTTGTCGGGAATGGGAAAATACTCCCCACCCCCTGGAGATCAACCAGGTATGAGGATTCTTTGACCCTGCAAAAATTTATATTTTTTCAATGTCTTAGTTTATTTTTATTTTTCTTTTAGAAAAAATTATAAATTTATAACAATTACATTTATGTACCTTCAAGGCTTCAACCACTAGTTTAACCTCATTCTCACCATTTTTTTTTTTAAATTCATCATTTATTGATTAATGATCTCATACATATAAGATATCGAGAATTGTGTGGGGTGGGGAAGGTACTCCTATGTCCCTATTTCTGTCAGAAAATGAAAATCTTCTTTTATTTTTATTTTTCAAAATTTGTCTCCATTCTTGTCTCCATTGGGAGTTCTCCATCATATATGGGGATAATTACATTCCCACACATTCCAAGTAAATATTTAAACCCATACCAAGGAGAAAAGGTAAAGAAAGTGAAGTGTGTGTGTGTGTATATATATATATATAATATGTCCATCCTAGTTGCCATATATGACCACTAGGTTGGACGGATAAAAAAATCAGTAGTTTTGGAGAGAGAGTTGACTAGTTCACATTCTAACAACATAACTTTTCTATGCTACTTTTGTTAATTGCTATGGTTATCTCTGGTTAAATGTGATACATTACAATAGTTAATGCATTATTTAAAGAAATAGTGACGTGATCAATGTATTATTATTGAATGGGTGAAAAATCAAATTTGGCTTTCTTGATATAATATATAATTGCAAAGCCACAATCAAGTTTACCTTAGTAAATATTATTCAGTTTATTATCCAATACCTATTGAATTTGACATAATAAAACCATTATATGCTTCAAAAGGCATGAATCTGGTTCAAAGGATATGGATTGTATTAAACGGGGTTAACAATTGATGATATATTTTTTCTATATATAATTCTTAAATTATATTAAATCTCGTAATTAAATAATTGTATTGAACCATTGATTTAAACACCAACGTACAACAATTCAACTTATCGAAGCTATATACATACCTTAGAATGTGGCTCATCATATAGATCCCATCCACTCAAATACATAAGAAAAATTCAAACATCCTCCGATCCCATGAGAGACCTAGTCACAAAATCATTATAAAATCAAACATACCGTACATACGTGCCCATATACTCAAATCGTATAATATATAACATAATATATGCTTTACAATATAATATCCTGCAAAGTGCTAATTAATTATATTGCATCTTAAACACACACAGCGCAGCTTACAAACAGATTAGGAATAAGTTTAAGCAGACAAGAATTTACAACACTAAAACATCAACTTATGACAAACACTACCTCTCCCTCATTACAATTCTTATATACTATACTTTATAATTTACAGCCGGCCGGAAAATCTCCCACCCAGTACTACGTCCATCGTCTACTGTACACTACACTATGGAACTACCTATAAATATCTCACTTTATTACACTCTGAAGCATCATATCATATCATATCAGCAAATTAAACCAAATTAAAATGGGAAGCTTAAGTGTAAGAAAATATTTTCTAGGGTTCATTCTTGTGGCTGTAAGCAATGTGGTTATGGCTCAGCAGCGCTCAGTTGCTGGTACAGTCACTCCTGCTTTTTTCAACGCAATTGCTAATAAAGCTGCCGGAAATAATGGTTGCCAAGGGAGGGGATTCTACACCAGAGCTGCCTTCCTTAAGGCCGCCGGTGCAAATCCCAGGTTCGGAAACACCGGTTCTCCGGACGTCGTTAAGCGCGAGATCGCCGCTTTCTTCGCTCACGTCACTCATGAGACCGGAAGTAAGTTTTTTTTTTTTTTTTTTTTTTTGCATACTTGATAAATCTGAACTTGTGACTCTAGCTGATCAGTTCAAATCAAGAAGGGACAACTCTATCCCACTGAGAGTTGAACTTTTAACTTTGTGATTACCAAATAAACAATCTGATTAACTTTGGTGGGATTGTCATTATTGTCTTAGGTTTGTGCTACATTAACGAGATAAACGGCGGGTCGAAGGACTACTGTGACGAGAGCGACAGGCAATACCCGTGCGCCGCCGGGAAGAAGTACTACGGGCGAGGACCGCTGCAGTTATCGTGGAATTACAACTACGGAGAAGCCGGGAAAAGCGTGGGATTCGACGGGCTGAGGAACCCCGACATCGTGGCCAGGGATGCTGTTGTGTCGTTCAAGGTTGCGTTGTGGTTCTGGATGAACAATCAGTGCCATTCCATGATTACGTCGGGGAAGGGTTTTGGGGCGACCATTCGCGCCATTAATGGCGATATTGAGTGCGATGGGGGCAATGCTGATGCTGTGAGGTCACGAATTGGGTATTATACTCAATACTGCAAACAACTGGGCGTCAACCCAGGTGTTAATCTCTCATGTTAGAGAATATTACAACGTACTGTACTGTTTTGAAATAATTTCAATTATTGTCATCAGCTTGGGTGTGCTTTACTAGGATTGTTATGTAAAATAATTTCAATTGTCATCAATTTGGATGGGTGTGTTTTACTAGTATAGGATTAATGTTTCATGTACAATAATTTCAATTGTCATTAATTTGGATGTGTTTCATTCGCTAATACATACTACGCATGCAAGTACAGATTGAAATTATTATATATGTAGTATGGAGAATGCACATAATTTATTATGTTATGTTTATCACCCCAATTTTGTCACAATCATATGCAAATTAATTAAGCAAGAGGCTAGTAGTTCGACAACCGGAATTACTTAATAAATAAAATATGATTCTTATACATGAGTACTCACAAGTTTAGCTCGTAGAGTGATCCAATGCACCTACACCTAATGTATATTACTTTCGCCATTATATATACCTTGCATATTTAAATTTTGTTAGTGTATATTAAATGTTACTATAATTATATTTACAATTTGAAGATTATACTAAATATTGCAAACAAATTAATTAATGTGAACTCTTAGGCAAAAAAATGTGCACTTAATTAAAGGTCAAAGTTCTGTACTTGAATGTACAAAGATGTGCAATCGAAACTAACAATTATGATACCAAAAAAGAAGAGTTATTCAACTTAAGTGTTATTGTAGCAATTACCTTTACAAATAATCATTTGTAAGTCTCACAAATTTCATTAAAAATTTAGTTATACGTTATTGAAAAGAAGACAGTACAAGATATAATAACCATTAGCTCATAATTCTGCATTTGAAGGTCAAATTGAATGGTGCACTCAAAAGCACAAATTGAAGATGTGCACTTAAAATGGAGAAACTATGCATTGAGATAAATCATATGCACTCAAAAGATGAAAAATATGTACTGGAATAAGGAAAAATGTACACTCTAAGACAAAGACTCTCTAAACTTAATTACTTACACAAAATTACCATAATACTTTTTAATTTTTTTCTTCAAAACTGCTGATTTGGACTAGATCATATAGCAAAGATTTAACCCTCTATATATATATATATATATATATATATATATATATATATATATATATATCTTTCTAACTACTACTGTTCACAAAATAAGCTATGTCTCAACAGGGATAGACTTCTCGATCTGGTGAGCGGAGGTGAGCTTCTACTATACATCGATCGGTAACTTAAGTTCGGTACGGTGGTGGTCCGCCCAGCAGCGGCGACGGCGGCATTGTAATATTGAATGTTTTAATTGGTTATTAATTATGTTAAATAAAATTGGACTATTAGTAATGAAATTGATGCATGTAATATTGGAACAAAAAAAAAAAAGACAAAAAAGATGAGTGCTATTATATTTGTGACAACACAGACCAATTTAAGAAGAAATGAACTAGAGATGGAAGAGTATCCTTGTAACAGTGGTTGAGTCGTTAGTTTGATGATTCTTCCAATTTTTTGTTTCGGGTTCTTCGCATAATCTCATTCACAAACTGTTCTATGTTGCGGTCGGAGGAGCCGCCATCCGCCACCGCCTCCTCCGCCTTCTTCCTCCACTTCAACGCATTCTCTTTTAACTCCCCCGCCTCGAGACCACCGCTCATGACTTGCGTCAAACACTTCTCAATTTCATCGCAACTAATAGTCCTGTTCTCAAACACACCCCTAGACAACCTCAACCCAGTCTTGAACTCGTCCACTAAAAACTTGGCATTAAGAACTTGATCGCCAAAATAAGGGAAAGTCAAGACGGGCACTCCATAAGCAATAGCCTCCATAGTCGAATTCCATCCACAGTGTGTCATGAAACAGGCAATCGAAGGGTGGGCCAACACCCGTTCTTGTGGGCACCACTCTACCACTTTCCCATGGTCTCCAACTTTGTCTAGAAACCCCTCGGGCAGCTCGATGGGCTGGTAGTACTTGGCTTGAGACTTCATGATCCACAAGAAGCAAACCCGGGCTTTTATTAGGGCTTTTGCGATCTCGTTTACTTGTTCTTGACTCGGCAGCGCAATGCTCCCGGAGGAAATGTACACGACCGAGGATAACGGTTTCGATTCCAGCCACTCCATGATGGAGTTATCCGAGCTTACCAGATCGGCCCGAACATCATTACCTTCTTCTTCTTTGAACAGAAGCGGGCCGACAGTCTTGACAGTGCAAATCCCCGACATGTGTCGAATAATGTCCGCCTCGAGCTCCTCGAATGAGTCGACCAGGAAGCAAAAGGGCACGGACATTTTCTTGAATTGGTCCAAAATCGTGGTTCTCAAAGCGTGAAACCTAGCGCCTCTCGGGTGCAAAAATCCGGGCACTTCGTCGTGGCTCAGAACCGGCATCCCCGGAATCTCCACCTCCATCTCCGGCCGGCCGTCGGTTGGAAACGGAACCAGGTCGAAGTTAAAATGATAATACGCTGAAAAGCTAGCGCAAGACTGCACCCACAGAACGGCGTTAGGAATCCCAAAGCTCTCCGCCACGTCGCAAACCCACGGAATGAACGAATTGTTAATCAAACACGACACCGGACGCGCCTGTTTTTTCAAGATCAACGGCAGCTCTCTCCGGCCGACCAATTCCAGGGTCTGAAGCTCCAACTCCATCCGGTTTTCCGCTCCGGTCTGACCGAACTCCCAACCGTCGAAAAACTCGAAACGGATCGACCCGGCGCCGTAGGGAGTGGGCCGGTCGGTGATATTGTCGTTGACTCTTCTCATGTCCCTGCCGATGCACTCTGGGGTACAGAAAGTGACGAGCATGCCCTTGGAAGCCAAGCGCTTGCCAAGCCTGAGCAAAGGGTTTACATGTCCTTGACCTGGAAACGAGACCAGAAACACATGAATCAGTGATTTGTTGGAACAAGAATCATCTTCCATTTATCCAACAATATAATTGTAATTTCCTTATCAATTACTGGAGAGAAATGGCAACTTTAATTTGATTATACATATACATGAAATTTGGATATATTTAACCGTATAATTGACAGGAATCAGAATCAAGCAGCTGCATTAAAAACAAACAAAACGAAATATACAACGTTGTCTATACATACGTATGATATGATCGATATATACAATGGCTGGCCAGGAAATATTCTTAAAAATAATTTTATTTGGTTCAGCATTGCATGTTTTCTTTCACAGGCCGGCATATCCTATAGACTCGTCACTATTTGTTGGTTTTACCACTAATCCATTTGATGTTTAGCTAACTAGACTGGTCGAAAAACAAAGTAACGTGTCAAATCAAAGGTACTAATTACATGCTAATATTCTAAAACATAAGAAAAGTGATATCTAAAATATGAGATAATATGTCCCCTAAGTTTCAGAGCCGAGCACTTGGGCAGAGTCTAACCACCACTCTACCAGGGTCAAGACCGGACCACCTGTATCAATCCATTATCTAGTCCTCAACTTGTCTTGTGGTTCGTGGAGTTGATGGCGCAAGAAAATAGAGAACACCATCATAGCTGACCACTTTTGCAATGAATCACGAACATACAAGAACTCCTATATATTTCCATGTTACTTTAGTCTTTGAATTAAGTAGTATAGAATTGTTTTTTTTTTGTTTTTTTTTTAAGAGCAAAGGAAGGCAGTAAGAACCCTTTTTAATTTGTATATTAAGCATGACATATTCTAGACGATGATCAGAGATGAATTGGTGAATAATGAGAGTTTAATTAATACAATCATACGATAGATGGGTACTTGGGGTGCACCGTAGTCCCCATTGATAATTGTACCACAAAATAGCGCAGCCACTTAATATGTCATATGTCATTTTAAGCTAATTTTTCCAACATTATACGGGTCAATCTAAAATTAAAAAAAAAAAAAAAATCTTAAATAGAATCACATTGGATAGAATATATCTTTCAAACAAGTACAAATTAAGCGTCAATTGTTCACACTTTGAACATGTGAAGACTCCTAAAACTAACTATGAAACTATTATTGGAATGAATTAAGATTGCATATATTGTTTCATGATGTTTTACAATACATTAGGCATGCATATAATATATGTAACCATGCTAAGACCTTGTGCGTATCATAGTTCATGAGTCCATTTCGTTTTTCCATATCTAAAGACAATGGCCATGTTTAGTAAATGGCTGATTGAGTTAGATGGTATGACTAATTGATTGCAAAAAAATGTTTGATTGGGTTAGATGACATGACTAGTTGATAACATTAGTTGATTGTAGAAAGATGTTTTGTAAATTAATTGTTAATTGATAACTGTTTGGTATATTTTTTTTCTCAAAAAGTTAATTGAAAAAGTTATTTTGAACAAATTTTTGAGTTTTAGCATTTTGAAGCTAAGTTACAAAAAGCAAATTAATCAAACACTTATATTGATTTTTTAACCAAGTCTAACAACTAATAATGGTCAAATAAGTCAAAATTGGTTGATTAGCTAACTATTTTACCAAACAAGGCTATATATTAGGTTCTCCATATTTGATGAAGATGGTGCATGTCTCTTCATTTCTTTCTAATTTGGAGACACTAGCGACATGTGTTTTATAGATTTGGAGAAACGAAGAGGTCTCTCTTCATAAGACCGGGAGATCATATACTCATCACTTATAGCATAATGTGTATATATATATATATATATATATATATATATATATATATATATAGGGATGCACTCAGGTGCGAATAAGTGCCGAGAAAGGAATATGCGAACGAATCAGCGCGCGACACGTGTCCAGATTTAATAGTTAAAAAAAAACGCGGTGGCATTTTCGTAAATAATTGAACATCGAAGTGCAAGTAAAATCACTTACATGTGCACCTACTTTCACATATAATTGCATGTAATTTTGCCTTGTTAGCATTCACTTCCTGCAAACATTCATGCACCTGGGTGTGCTTATAACTATAGGTGCAACTATTTATAACTATAAGTGCAATTACTTATAACTATAGGTGCACATACTTTTACCTATAAATGCATGTAATTTTGTCTTGTTAACATTCATTGATTTGAG